CAGCTACGAACGCGCATCTTAGTTATACATCGAATGCGGACCACTGAGGAAACAGGCACGAAATGTTGCCATTTCAGACCGCCATTGGGCTAGTTGTGCTTCTTGTCCCAACTTTTCGTCGTATACAGGATAATCTCTTCACGCGATTGCCGTAAAAATCATTGGGAATGAAAGCAACTTAGTTTGCGTTCCTGACAGCGGTAAGTTACGTAAAAATCATCTTTGCGTTTTTCAGCAGTTTAACGATAAGCGCAAAACTCCAGTTTGGTTTAGTTTGACATTTTGCAAAGAACCTTTCACAGCTCAGGGAGGATGGAAGGAATTATTACTTTTTGGTTGGTTTAAGAAAGTTAAACCATCTAACTTTACATTTGAGTCACAACGAGGGTTGGCGAACATGTAGAAGTGCGTTGAAAACTTTGTTAAATATAGGCAACAAACACATCTCGACAAGTGGCTGCAAGCTGTCGTAATTGCTTCCCTCGTAAACATTTTCCCTAAAATTCCAATATTTTTTGTATTTTATATTTCTGTGGGTCAAAAGTGATTTCAACAATCAGTAGTACTCGTTTGCGATAGATTTCCGTGGTTGTTTGGTTATTTTAGGCGTTGAAAGTTTTCGAGAAGGTAGTGTTTGGTTCCATACCATCTGAACGTCTCGTCTCGTTTGATCCTCAAAATCTATTCAACTTCGCAACTTTCAATTATTTTGATGGCAATCCGGTCTCAAATTATGGTAAGACAAGTATTTTGGCTTCCAAATTAAAGTATTTCAGTCCTTTGTACGTGTGAGACTATTTTATTGTCTTCAAGATTCAAATATATTTCTTTATGAAATGTATTTCGCAAGCAACAAATTTGCGCCAAGTTGTTTCTTCCTGATGCTGGTTCATCTTCGTTCTCCCTCGACTTTAAACAACAAGCTCTTTTATTTCGCATTAAGAAGGACTTTTGAGGCATTTTTAACGTAGTATTATTCAATTTACTTTCATCTTGAAGCTAAGCTATTTATGTTCAAATTTTATTTTCGCAGAGAGGAAATTTTTAAGTTTGTTTCATACGTCTCTTTCTCAACGAAGTTAACCGCCATCTTGGCGATTACGGTTACAAGTACAATGCATCGATCTTGCTTGTTTTCAAACTTAGAGCCCTCTTTTGCCACAGTTTTCAGTTTAAAGTCACCAGGAGAGTTTTTTTTGTCATCTGGTAAGAAATCTGTTGTTTATGTGGCTAACTTTGCCATCTAGAAGTTGCAACGCATATTCTAAGACAACGCGCCTTCCACGAACACAATATCCATTTTCAAAGGGTCAGTCCACGATAACAGAAGAAGTGCATTTGCAAGTGTTTTGTACCGTTTTATTCCTTAATCAGCTCTCTGATTTAAAGTTAAAAGCATTTTTTCTTTATTTCGATATATAGAGCGCTTTTTGGCCTCATAACATACGAGATTTTGTTGAAAGTTTTTCGTGTCCGTTCGCAGCGTCAGGTCATCGAAGAGCGCCAAGATGTTTCGCTGCGAGTATTGGTGAATAGAAATCCAGTTTGTGTGTCAGTTCTCATTTAATCAGGACAAAAATGATTCAATTCTTTCGTAAATGGTTTGGAAATTGTTTCCTGTGAAATTCTAAGCAAATAAGTCAGTGATCAAGATATTTTTCTGGGTATTTTCGATATTTTTAGTACTTATCCTCGACACACCCTGCCAGCGCTAAGTCGGCTTCCTGCATGTAGTACAATTGTTTACGTCTTGAAAAGCAGTTTAGCAGTCAGTGTATATATTTTACTCTGATCGTGGTTTAATACAGATAAAATTCACTGAAAAAGATCGCTGCATCTTTTCTAAGTCAAAATTTAGGACATGATTTATAGATGGCTGGAGTTCTGTAATAAAGCTTGAATTTCCACGTTTCGTGTCGCCAACCGAACAACGAGACGTATTTTGCATAAGTAATGACGTATACTTTCACTTCCAAAGAAACATTTCGAGATCATTCCCACATATTTATTCTTACTTTGAAATATTCTTTTCATGAGCTATTGCTATAACGTTTTGCTCATATTATGGAAACTTTTCCGCAAAAATAAATTTACATTATCGCATGATAGAATTTGTATTGCAGACGAAAATGTTATAACACAAACTATTTTTGTTTGCAGTGAATAATTTGTCTGGATAATGAAATGTGCTTATTGTAACCCATTGGCCATATTTTATCCATTTGCTTTTAGTGTCTGTTCAAGAAGATGAGGAAGTCGAAGTTGATAACATTGCTTCTCTGAAAATTACTTTGATATTTTTAAAAAACTATTCGAAATGATTATTTTTGAATCATGTAATGACTTTTTCTCCAGTAAGACAGTTAAAAAAAACTGCTATTTCAATTTTTAGGATTTAAGTTGCAAGGCCAGACTTTGATCTCTTTTTTAAAATAATGAGGTCCTTTTAGGAGTTTTTGAATGAGGGATATTAATTTTAGGTAAAAAATTAACAGGATATTTGGGGTAAAAATTAGTGGGATACTTTAAATCTTCAAATTAGCACCTGGGGCACTTATTTAAAATTTCTGAAAAGACTGGGGGTGCTTATTCATGGGAGGTGCTTCAGGTAAAACCATTACCGTATACCTTTGGAGGTGTCTCGCATAGAAGTAATGTGGCGCGTCCGGTTTAAATTGCAGCTATGTAAGCTGTCTAAACCCTTATATCAAATTTATTAAAGCTTATAGCTAGAGCTGACTATTAAACTATACCAACAATTTTGAAATAAAATGAATTGTTGGATTTTTCACAACCTGTAAATGCAAGTGTCTGAATCACGTTTTGAAGGCTAGAAGCCAAAGGGAATTTGTTTGTTTGCCCTAGAATTTGGACAGAAGCTAGTTTGACATTAAACAAGAAAAATCTTTTTGTACTATCACTGTATATCTTTTTAATCTTATTTTGAAAATGTTCTGTAACTTTTCACTCAAATTAAATATGGCAAATCATATCTCAGACACACTTTTTTAGTGCTTTGGGTCGAGAAATTGAGGAACAAATTAGATTAGTGAAAAAAAAAAATTTGCTTTGTCTTGTATCTTTCAAAAAGTGATTTGGCCACTTGTATTTAGAGCACGTGAAAAATTAGACAGTTCATTTTATTTCAAAATTTGTTTTGGTATACTTTGATAGCCAGCTCTAAGCTTTAATTTGATATGATGGTTTGTATATCTTCGGTTTAAACTGGACGGGCTACATTGCCTCTTCATGAGACACTCCTAAAGGTAAACGGTAACCTTACTTACTTAATTTTTCTTAAATCATGGCTAGGCTGGGCGTGCGAGTGCACTTTTTCGTATTTTCGTATTTGGCCACCATCTTGCATTTGGTAACTGGGAGTTTGGGGTGCGGAAATATTTGCCGAGGGAATAGGCATTAAGTGGAAAAAATGGGCAAGGGGGGAGTGGGAGAGGAAGGAAAAATACGTCATTTCAAGTGCCCCACCCCACCTCTGCACCAACCTTCTACCGGTCAAACATCCAATTACAATCCAAGATTGAGGCATCAAAAACTCGATTTATCTAGCGTTCCACTCCAAAATAATGCCTGTGCTGCTGGCTAAATCATGGCCAGATATAATCTTTTTTTGTAGTACATCAAATATTGTGCATAAACAACAACATAAGCTGTGTATCAACATACAGAACTTTTCCTAAAGTTTTAATAGCGGCAGAGTTGTTACTCTTGCAATTAGTTTTCCAAACTTGACGTGTTCACAAACTGAAACAGTGTACAAATCTAATATCCCATATGCAGTTAATTAGTTTGGCAAGCATGATTACATATTTAGTATCAATTTTGATTTTTTCATCATGAATATTATCGGCCACGTCCTAATTCCATCGGACTGTGTCTAAGTCCATCAAAAGGATCTTCTCTCTCTTGAAGAACTACATAATGACTAATCCCTTTAACCAGTCTAGGCCTGCTGCACAAGGTTGGTTGGGCAGCTTTAGGCAATGAATCAGTAGATCTTCACTACCATCCATTGTGATGGTCAATGCACAGTGCTTGAACGATTCNGCCTGAGATATGGAGCAGAACTCCAGATGAAAGCCCTGATACTGCTTGGCTGGAGGCCGAGAATGCAAGGTTTACGGTCAAGTTTTTTTTTACAATAACTGCTGAAATTTTCGCGCGCTCATTGGCTAATTTTCATTGTCAATTTCACAAATTGACGTCAGTTTTTCATGCGTCTGTCCTGTTATTGATCAGGAATTTCGTCATAACATTGTCAAAGTAGCTGTGAATCCACGAGGTGATAGCCGGGTGCATCCGCAGACTACTTTGACAATGTTATAACGAAATTCATGATCAATAACACAAGAGGCCCAATGACGCTTCGCATAAATTATAAATTCATGTGTCTGTCCGCTTATTGACAATGAAAATTAGCCAAAGAGCGCGCGAGAATTTCTGCAGTTATCTGCTACTAATCTCGCAATCTGATTGGCTAATTTGCCGTTGCCGATAAGAGTCCAGACCACGCTTCTCACGTCAATGTGTCATGCAACGCCTTTTTCAGCTCGCGTTCGCAAAAAAAAAATTTTTTTGACTTTGATATTGTGGTAAAAAAACAAATCGAAATGTGGTTTAGCGTGGTCTGTAGTCTTATCGACAACGATACGCGTCACCACAGTGGTCAAAATTTGTTGTGAACTGCGCCTCGTGAGTCCACAACATTTTGACCACTGCGATGACGCGTATCGTTGTCGATAAGAGTTCAGACCACGCCCAACCACATTCGATTTGTTAATTGTACCACAATGGTAAAATTTCAATCTGACGCATATAATAGCCATGATAGGAGGCCAGGGGCCATTTTCCCTTCTTTTTACTAGCGGGGGATGGGGTATCGCATCAGTTCGAAAACAAAGGACTGCAACGGGTGTGCCCCCTTTGTCTGGACAGGGGATATCATGTACAAGATAAAAATGCAATAAATTTAGTCACCACCGTTTCGTTTATAAAATTTTTTTTTCCTTTATTTACAAAACTCTCGTGTACCTCACACATCTGACCTGCACTTTACATAAATAAATTGCTATGAAAAACCTAACAACGGCTGGTAACATACATTCACATCTACAGAAAGAATTCTTAATTCTTATTTCTATATTCTATCTTCGGCACCCTCTGCTACGGCAAAGGTTTGTTTTTTTTTAAACTGAAAGTCAACGGAAACCGCAGTCTTTTAATATAAACATAATAAATGTATGTCAGTCATGAAATATTTTCAAGTTCACTTATTTCTTTCCTTTTGTAGCTTTTTTGGCCGGCTTTTTCGCTGGGCTCTTTGCTTTCTTCGTGGATTTCTTCGCGGGCGATTTTTTGGCGGCGGGTTTCTTTGCTGCTTTCTTTGCTGGGGCTTTCTTCGCGGCCGGTTTCTTTGCAGCCTTCTTCTTGGCTGCAGGCTTCTTCTTTGCGGCTGCTTTCTTTGCAGCAGGCTTTTTAGCTGCGGGCTTCTTCTTGGGTTTGGCTGCCGGTTTCTTGGCGGCAGGCTTCTTCTTTGGTTTAGGTTTCGGCTTCACCTCGGCGGCTTTGTTCACCTTGAAAGATCCGGACGCGCCAACTCCTTTGGCCTGAATAAGTTTACCAGCCGTAACAAGTCTTTTAAGGTTGAGCTTCACCTGGACCCCAACATTTTCTCCAACTTTGTAGTGCTCGGATATGTATTTTGTTATCTTCTGACGCGAGGAACCCGTTCGCTCTTTCAACTCTTTAATCGCAGTGACGATCATTTCTTCGTACTTCGGGTGCTCGGCAGGCTTTTTCGGTGCCTTCTTCTTGGGTGCCTTTGGTGTCGTCGTCGCTGCATCGCCCATGGTGACTGATTATATTAATTTAACAACGAGGTTTCTCGGAAGAAATCGATAGCGAGACAATCAAACTCACGAACCCTCTACTCGGCGTCGCTTGGGGAGAAGTGACGCAGCTACGAACGCGCATCTTAGTTATACATCGAATGCGGACCACTGAGGAAACAGGCACGAAATGTTGCCATTTCAGACCGCCATTGGGCTAGTTGTGCTTCTTGTCCCAACTTTTCGTCGTATACAGGATAATCTCTTCACGCGATTGCCGTAAAAATCATTGGGAATGAAAGCAACTTAGTTTGCGTTCCTGACAGCGGTAAGTTACGTAAAAATCATCTTTGCGTTTTTCAGCAGTTTAACGATAAGCGCAAAACTCCAGTTTGGTTTAGTTTGACATTTTGCAAAGAACCTTTCACAGCTCAGGGAGGATGGAAGGAATTATTACTTTTTGGTTGGTTTAAGAAAGTTAAACCATCTAACTTTACATTTGAGTCACAACGAGGGTTGGCGAACATGTAGAAGTGCGTTGAAAACTTTGTTAAATATAGGCAACAAACACATCTCGACAAGTGGCTGCAAGCTGTCGTAATTGCTTCCCTCGTAAACATTTTCCCTAAAATTCCAATATTTTTTGTATTTTATATTTCTGTGGGTCAAAAGTGATTTCAACAATCAGTAGTACTCGTTTGCGATAGATTTCCGTGGTTGTTTGGTTATTTTAGGCGTTGAAAGTTTTCGAGAAGGTAGTGTTTGGTTCCATACCATCTGAACGTCTCGTCTCGTTTGATCCTCAAAATCTATTCAACTTCGCAACTTTCAATTATTTTGATGGCAATCCGGTCTCAAATTATGGTAAGACAAGTATTTTGGCTTCCAAATTAAAGTATTTCAGTCCTTTGTACGTGTGAGACTATTTTATTGTCTTCAAGATTCAAATATATTTCTTTATGAAATGTATTTCGCAAGCAACAAATTTGCGCCAAGTTGTTTCTTCCTGATGCTGGTTCATCTTCGTTCTCCCTCGACTTTAAACAACAAGCTCTTTTATTTCGCATTAAGAAGGACTTTTGAGGCATTTTTAACGTAGTATTATTCAATTTACTTTCATCTTGAAGCTAAGCTATTTATGTTCAAATTTTATTTTCGCAGAGAGGAAATTTTTAAGTTTGTTTCATACGTCTCTTTCTCAACGAAGTTAACCGCCATCTTGGCGATTACGGTTACAAGTACAATGCATCGATCTTGCTTGTTTTCAAACTTAGAGCCCTCTTTTGCCACAGTTTTCAGTTTAAAGTCACCAGGAGAGTTTTTTTTGTCATCTGGTAAGAAATCTGTTGTTTATGTGGCTAACTTTGCCATCTAGAAGTTGCAACGCATATTCTAAGACAACGCGCCTTCCACGAACACAATATCCATTTTCAAAGGGTCAGTCCACGATAACAGAAGAAGTGCATTTGCAAGTGTTTTGTACCGTTTTATTCCTTAATCAGCTCTCTGATTTAAAGTTAAAAGCATTTTTTCTTTATTTCGATATATAGAGCGCTTTTTGGCCTCATAACATACGAGATTTTGTTGAAAGTTTTTCGTGTCCGTTCGCAGCGTCAGGTCATCGAAGAGCGCCAAGATGTTTCGCTGCGAGTATTGGTGAATAGAAATCCAGTTTGTGTGTCAGTTCTCATTTAATCAGGACAAAAATGATTCAATTCTTTCGTAAATGGTTTGGAAATTGTTTCCTGTGAAATTCTAAGCAAATAAGTCAGTGATCAAGATATTTTTCTGGGTATTTTCGATATTTTTAGTACTTATCCTCGACACACCCTGCCAGCGCTAAGTCGGCTTCCTGCATGTAGTACAATTGTTTACGTCTTGAAAAGCAGTTTAGCAGTCAGTGTATATATTTTACTCTGATCGTGGTTTAATACAGATAAAATTCACTGAAAAAGATCGCTGCATCTTTTCTAAGTCAAAATTTAGGACATGATTTATAGATGGCTGGAGTTCTGTAATAAAGCTTGAATTTCCACGTTTCGTGTCGCCAACCGAACAACGAGACGTATTTTGCATAAGTAATGACGTATACTTTCACTTCCAAAGAAACATTTCGAGATCATTCCCACATATTTAGTCTTACTTTGAAATATTCTTTTCATGAGCTATTGCTATAACGTTTTGCTCATATTATGGAAACTTTTCCGCAAAAATAAATTTACATTATCGCATGATAGAATTTGTATTGCAGACGAAAATGTTATAACACAAACTATTTTTGTTTGCAGTGAATAATTTGTCTGGATAATGAAATGTGCTTATTGTAACCCATTGGCCATATTTTATCCATTTGCTTTTAGTGTCTGTTCAAGAAGATGAGGAAGTCGAAGTTGATAACATTGCTTCTCTGAAAATTACTTTGATATTTTTAAAAAACTATTCGAAATGATTATTTTTGAATCATGTAATGACTTTTTCTCCAGTAAGACAGTTAAAAAAAACTGCTATTTCAATTTTTAGGATTTAAGTTGCAAGGCCAGACTTTGATCTCTTTTTTAAAATAATGAGGTCCTTTTAGGAGTTTTTGAATGAGGGATATTAATTTTAGGTAAAAAATTAACAGGATATTTGGGGTAAAAATTAGTGGGATACTTTAAATCTTCAAATTAGCACCTGGGGCACTTATTTAAAATTTCTGAAAAGACTGGGGGTGCTTATTCATGGGAGGTGCTTCAGGTAAAACCATTACCGTATACCTTTGGAGGTGTCTCGCATAGAAGTAATGTGGCGCGTCCGGTTTAAATTGCAGCTATGTAAGCTGTCTAAACCCTTATATCAAATTTATTAAAGCTTATAGCTAGAGCTGACTATTAAACTATACCAGCAATTTTGAAATAAAATGAATTGTTGGATTTTTCACAACCTGTAAATGCAAGCGTCTGAATCACGTTTTGAAGGCTAGAAGCCAAAGGGAATTTGTTTGTTTGCCCTAGAATTTGGACAGAAGCTAGTTTGACATTAAACAAGAAAAATCTTTTTGTACTATCACTGTATATCTTTTTAATCTTATTTTGAAAATGTTCTGTAACTTTTCACTCAAATTAAATATGGCAAATCATATCTCAGACACACTTTTTTAGTGCTTTGGGTCGAGAAATTGAGGAACAAATTAGATTAGTGAAAAAAAAAAATTTGCTTTGTCTTGTATCTTTCAAAAAGTGATTTGGCCACTTGTATTTAGAGCAAGTGAAAAATTAGACAGTTCATTTTATTTCAAAATTTGTTTTGGTATACTTTGATAGCCAGCTCTAAGCTTAAATTTGATATGATGGTTTGTATATCTTCGGTTTAAACTGGACGGGCTACATTGCCTCTTCATGAGACACTCCTTAAGGTAAACGGTAACCTTACTTACTTAATTTTTCTTAAATCATGGCTAGGCTGGGCGTGCGAGTGCACTTTTTCGTATTTTCGTATTTGGCCACCATCTTGCATTTGGTAACTGGGAGTTTGGGGTGCGGAAATATTTGCCGAGGGAATAGGCATTAAGTGGAAAAAATGGGCAAGGGGGGAGTGGGAGAGGAAGGAAAAATACGTCATTTCAAGTGCCCCACCCCACCTCTGCACCAACCTTCTACCGGTCAAACATCCAATTACAATCCAAGATTGAGGCATCAAAAACTCGATTTATCTAGCGTTCCACTCCAAAATAATGCCTGTGCTGCTGGCTAAATCATGGCCAGATATAATCTTTTTTTGTAGTACATCAAATATTGTGCATAAACAACAACATAAGCTGTGTATCAACGTACAGAACTTTTCCTAAAGTTTTAATAGCGGCAGAGTTGTTACTCTTGCAATTAGTTTTCCAAACTTGACGTGTTCACAAACTGAAACAGTGTACAAATCTAATATCCCATATGCAGTTAATTAGTTTGGCAAGCATGATTACATATTTAGTATCAATTTTGATTTTTTCATCATGAATATTATCGGCCACGTCCTAATTCCATCGGACTGTGTCTAAGTCCATCAAAAGGATCTTCTCTCTCTTGAAGAACTACATAATGACTAATCCCTTTAACCAGTCTAGGCCTGCTGCACAAGGTTGGTTGGGCAGCTTTAGGCAATGAATCAGTAGATCTTCACTACCATCCATTGTGATGGTCAATGCACAGTGCTTGAACGATTCAATAATCGGTTGGTTGTGATTAAACATGGCCAAGAAAATACATCCTTTGTTGAGTCAATACTTAGAGAGGAGAGGGGAGAAGGTGCTTATTTTAAATTTTGGCTGATAGGAGGGGTGCTTATTTGAAGGGGGCACTTATTTGAGGGGAGGCACTAATTAAACAATTTACAGTATGAGATATTTGTAATAATATTAATAATAATAATAATAATAGAAATAATAATAATAATAATAACTTTAATTAAGTGTCAAATGTATTTAGCACCATTAAATGTGCTAATTGGGGACACTGTAAATGAATAAACACATATTTCAAATATAACATTAACTATTAAGAATCCCAACTGGTTGGAGGCTGACCAGTTGGTTATTTACACAATGTGGTTGAGGAGTTGAACTTGGGGCTACCGAGAACAAATCCAGATAGCGGTAGGGTGGACATCCTGAGAGGTCGAGTGGGAATATTCATTTGTTATTTTTGAAAGATTAAATTCACGGGATATAGGATATTTAGGCCAAAAATTATTGGGATAATTGGAATACCCAGATCCTCCAATGGGGCCACTATTAAATCATTACTCATTTTCTTAGCTCTGAAACAAGCTTAGTTTATTTGATGAACATTTTATTTATCCTGTGTTACTGCCACTCTCCCCGAAAGAAAAAATTCGAGTGAGCTTCTGTGTGTTACCCTTGATAATCTAATCAGGGGCACATGATTTTTCCGCAATAAGTAGACGAATGACCGCCAAAAATTGGCCCCTAAAAAAAGGTCTTCAGGGGCCACTTTGGCTCTCAAGTAAAATATTCTGGCTGAAAAGCTGAACTGGTTCGGTGATGGTTTGCGGTTTTGTGAACTAGCAATTGTGAATTGGACACATTGCACTCAGAGCTTAATGCATTTTACTGGTGGTGCTTACAAATATCATGAGAA